ATAAATCAAGATGGAAATAGATTAATATCTTGTGATGGATAATATAATATAATTTTGGTTATGGAAGGTTCGAATAAAAAGTTTTGGAGAGTGATATAAAAGATTTAAACAGATAATTGGGGATTCAGATTAAGCTTTATTGATAATAATCTAATAGCATTTCAGCCAATTTAAATTTATCAAGGAAATTGGACAGGATCAAGAAACCTGGTAATTTATTCTATAAATCATGAATATGGACTATATACAAAATAAAGAGAAATTTCTGTTTAAGGCTTTGGACAGATTTGCTCATTCTTTTGTCCTTAATCTTATATAGCTTCGAAGGGTATACTTCTTACAAAAAATGGATGCACTATTAACTTAGTAAAATTCACATTTGATTCGACAAATTCAAATTATGATTGTACATTAGAATGCGCAATTAATTTTGGTGACCTTGAACAAGGCGAATTATTTGCTTCAATGAGTGATGATGGAGAATATTTAATTACTTGGGATCCCTAATCAAGAGAAATCTAAATAAGAAGATTTAATGATCGAAATTGAAAATATGTAATTGATATATTTTCAAATTATAATTATTAAATTAAAGATAAAAATTTTTGAATTTATATTATAGATTTATATTAATATCATTTAAAAAACATTTAAAAACAGATTCTTTAGTGAAAGTATAGTTTTTAGCATTTGTTATATTTATAAACAATAAATTGCGGAAGATAATGTAATATCACCTGTATTTAGATTTAAAATTTCAAAAATTCATTGTTATATCATTCCAAATATTCACTCCATTACAACTCACTGCTACAATTTAAACATTTTGATAATATTTGTTTCTTTCAAAATTTATGAGTTGTTTTATCTAAAATTAACTTATCCAAATAGTTTATTAAAGTTTGATAATATTTACATTTAACCCATTATGATTGATAAAAAAATATTAATTCAGGAATATAAATTTAAGGAAAGTATAGGTTTATATCTTATTTGCCAACTAAAGTTGATATTTTCTTTTCAACAAAAGCTCCCTTATCCTAATTCTGTTTGAATTTTATAAGTGTATTTATCCTCAAAGCAATATATGACCCTCAAAATTAGATTTTAATACACTTATTCTCTTTTAATTCAAAATTCTCGAAACTTCAATGTTTTAAATTATATTTTAGCAAAATTTAGTTCAACATCAATCAATAGTTAGTCTTTTTCTAGTATATTTTTATATTAAAAATATTAAATACTTTACAGATTAATATAGGAAGTATAAGTTTATGAAAAATTCTTGGATATGATATTTTAACAGCATTTAAAATTATGTAAATTTAGAATAGTTGTAAATTTCATTTGACTTTAGAGAAATCAATTTAAGAAAAATAATTATTGCAAATTTGTTTTAAGTGATAAATAGATAAAATATTCGAAAAAATTAAAAACAAAAATTAATATCTACTAAAAAACAAATATTTGCTTATGTATGATGAATATGGTTTTTACTTAAAGAATCCTTTTGATAGAAAAACCAATTATAGTCAAAATTGATTTCAAAAATACAATTACTTAGCTTAATAATAAGTAACCCATTTAACTAAAACCAAAATTTGTTTTCATAAGGAAAATAATATAAGTTTACTTTTTTCTTTATGTATAATTTAGTAAATGATAACTCTTTGACAAATATGACTCTAACTCTTCTTT